GTGTCGCTTAGTACACCACACGACATTCGCGGTTGGGGAAAACGAACAGCACAAACATATCACTTAACCCTCGCAGATGGGCTGGCTACTGCGAGCGACTCTTACTCAATCAAAATTATTATTCTTTAAAATAAAATCAATACTCGAAATAATAAAAAATAAAGTGTTATTCATGACGAAGATAATTTTTTTTAAAATTGTCGGTTCTATCACTTTCAATTCGCTACGGAAAATAAAAGAACAGTTACTGACCTATGATTAAAAAAATTCCGTTTCAGCAAAATCGCAACAAACGCTGATCACAAATATTTACACCGCGACATACAAAAAAGACCTCAAGTCATTTTCACAAAATTAAACAATACTTTCTTACGAAATGCCCGCGAACTAGTATTTTCTCACTGTATCATTGTACTTTCACACTCAGAAATTATTTTTTCCTTTTTGTAATCTGAACATTTCGTTTTTGAAATCACACACAAACTTAATAAAAGCATGGGCGACCAATTCGAGATTGTTAATATAGCGAATGTTATTAGGCTAGAGAAAAATGATATGTCTTCCCTGCCGAGCCTCGAGGCAATTAGGCGCTAAGTAGGCGGTAAAGCTGTTATCAAAATAGAACACACCTCACTTTATGAATTATTCAGTTCATTTGCGCCTGAAAATCCAGCGAGTGTTAATTACTTTGGCCATTCGAGCGAAACACACCAGGCTCCGCCTTCTCGATCTCACCAAACAGCGAGACTATTGAAGTAAACTTAACCCCAAGGATTTCGCATTTTGAAAAATTTAAACATTTACTTGTGATCAATGCATTTTGCGCTGGGTCTGTATAGTAAAAAAAAACGCAAAAAAAAAAATTGAAGTAACTTTCCTTACGAATGAATTGTAATAATAATAATAATCAGTCTTTCTAGCGTCCCAAATGAGTACAGCACGGAATGCACTTCGATTAAAAGTTATTATACGAGACGGACGGTCCGAAAAACAAATTCGGCCGCGGGGCTCAAAACTTTCCAACTGTGTCTTCAGCTCAATTCCAGCCGTGTGAATCACGTCAATAGATATGGTCAAATCGTACAATTTCGAAACTAGCTCGAGGCAAAAATGAACCTGCAAGAGTGTGTTTGCTTTTCAAAATATTAAAATGAAGTTTACAAAAACGTGCCATGAGACGCAACAACCAGTTAACTGAATATAATTTGCGTCTAAAAGTTTAAAGGTCTTTTTCAAACTGACCGTGCGGAAGAAATTGCAGTTTTTTATTGCAATAATCGGATCGCAAAGAATATGATAGTTAATTTACGCTAAGCATCAACGTTAAACGCTGTGTTTTGCGTACCACCAATTTAATCATGTGTTCACAAATATTCAAGGTGGCACAAGTTGTCGTTAGCTCAACAAAATCTAGTATTTCACATTAGCGTCACATGTGGATTGTCAAAATTTGATCTGAAAGAACGAGAAGCATTTGCTTACGTGCAAAATTGTTTGATTTAAGCAACAACACAAAATTTTGAATTAGTTTCAAATCACGCAAAGTTTCGAAAGAAGGACTCCAACTGCTGTTCGACAGGTCAACGATGTAATTTGAAAAACAACTTTTTAAGTTTCGTTTCTTTGTGCACCTTGCGTTCGCCAACATGACAGTATTTCTCCGAGATTTTCGGGCTGTTATTCTAAAATTAAACTGAAACAGATGTCACCGTCTTGAGATACGAATCAATTAGGAGAGAAAAAAAAATGAAAATTCTATATCTGCGACGTTAAAATCCCAGCGAACGAAGTGATCGCGGAGAAGTCGTGCTACGGATGTAACAACAAACTTGGCATCAACAAAGCCTTACGCTGGTTAACACGGAATTAGTTTTGAATAGCCGCGCTCGCGACCAAACTCCCGTGCTTCAGTTTAACCAAACTGGTTTGCTTTAGTCTTTAATCTCACAAATGTTTACAATTTCGCGGAGTACGAGAGAGTTCAGGAGACCCGACAACACACCGAGAAATTAATTAGTTTTTGGCATCACGCCTCTTCGCGCCGTGTGAGTCAACGCGGCGTGTAGTCCCTTAACAGCTTGCCCACTCCTCACGCCTCTTCCGCCCCGAGAGAGAAAACATAAGAGATTTCTATTCATGTTAAGATGTTGGCAAGAACGAACGCCACACCAATGGTCATGTTTTTCAAATTGCGAGGCGCGAGGTCAAGAAGGCGTTAAGTTTCCTCGTTCGATAAACAAACCAAACGAGAGAGATTTTCGCTTTCGAAGTTCAGTTTCGTCAACTGACTACATAGCGTAGAAACAATGTTAAATAGTGATAAATTCACAACCGATATCAGCCAAGAGAGCTATCTTGGACTTGGCATGTCTTGTATGAACTTAAAAGACTTTTCTTTAGGAAACTTAAGTAAATAAATCACTGTCACAGTGAGGCTGGAAAGCAAAAAAAAAAAAACTTACATAATTAAGAGGCAGACGGGAAGAAAGCCCCTGGAGAATAGGGCTCCAAAGTTGCTTGAACGCTAACTGCAGCCTTTTACGGTCCAAATTTACGATACCAAACTCTTATTTACGTGCGCAATAACAGAGAGTCAACAGAAAGTTTTCTTCTTTGATAAAGACTGTTATCTATTCACATTTACTTCCTATAGAAATGTAATGGGGTTTTCATGCGACATCAAACAAAGGGTTCGAGTAAATGTCTACGCCGAAAGAAAAGCCTTATAATTCAATGTTGGTTCTTGAAAAGAGTAGCGATTGCAGAATGTTTGCTTTGGGTTTTAAGTTGCTCAGATAAATGGCCGATCTTAATAGCGATTTCGTCTAATCGAATCACAACAGAATGCTTGCCCTTCAAGCTCCATAGCCGCGAAAATGATTCTTTCATACACTCCTAATTTCATCAAACGTGCATTATTGATAATGGAAACCCATAAGTATTTTATCAAAGGTTAAGGCACGCTTTGTTCATCGTTCGATCGCTATTCAACCAATTTGTCTACACTTAATAATGTCTGCATTAGAGAAATGAATATCGATTCGAGAAGTTTTTACGTCGAGTCTGTTCAAATTGTCAAGTGATCCTGTCGACAAGTTTCGAGAAACACAAAAAAAGCCGTTGAAGCGCACAAAGTTTTTATTCTGCACGTTTCGCTTCGCTACCTGTACATTAGCATTTAAGCTTTGTCTCCTCGCACCAAAAATACCCCTCATTTCCATTCGTTGTCGCTCGAAACTCAACACCGAAAACAAATTCATGACAGCCACTTTCTATTTTGGTAAACATCGATTACTAGGCCATTTTCGTGAGTGTGTATCGATATGTGTAGGGAAACTTTAGAAGGGTTTTGTGAATTCTTGCAAAATTTCAACCGGAACTTGGCCTGCGCTAATAACACCAGTAATTTGTTATTTTTTTTTTATGCTGTCATTAACTTTCGTGCAAAGACTAGACATATTTCTCCCTAAATTCCTTCTTCCTTTTCGTAGGTTCCAAAAAAAGCTTGTTGAGGGTTTCTTCTAAGTTTCACGGAAACATACGATTCGATGTTAGTCGTCACCAAACAAAGTTTCCTTGATCGACGAGGAAATTATTCATAAAGCACTTGTGAAAGAAACTATTTTGCATTTCACGCTCTTTGGCCAATATCAGTCCCCTAATTGCGACCCGACTACAGCAGCTTCATGACGGCCGTAATTTTCTTCACTTTCGGGAGTTCATTTCAAAAGGAGTCGAACTCTAAATGAAGAGATTTATATTAAAATTGAATAGTGAAATATTATTTGGACAGGGCAGTAATTGCACAAGCGGGAACTCGCAAACGGGTTCAAGATCTAAATGAAAACCTGACATTTGTACGGTAAATAGTAATAAGGCGAAGGCAGAGTTTTATGTCCAATATTGGCGTAACGCCAGATGCTATTTACTCAAGTAAATTTTAAAGAAATTTCCTTCAAACAGCGGTAAACCCTTTCGATCACCGGGCGAACAATGCTAAACTAACTTTCCTCGCACCGAGGAAATGACCAAACGCAAAGTTTAATTTTAGTAACAAAATTTCTGTATGATGCACCGCCACCGATAAACATGTGCTAATTGTGCTTGCAGAACTTGTCAACACATATCAAAACACCGGTGAAATGATTAAAAAAAATTTTCGTCGACTGGGAGAATGGGCGCTCGTTTCAAGGGTTGATCGGAGATGGTTTGACGCGTGCCAAGATTAAGAATTTAGACGTCTGCACTCTGGAAAAACTCAACGATCTTTCGAGGGTTTCAAAGCTGCTTACAGCTGTAATTCTCAGCTGTCTTTATAGCTTTTAGTATCCATGGGAACCAAGAGGCGTTGAAAAATTGGCTAAGTAGAGAATACAGAGAAATCAAGGCCATTTACTTTGCGGTTTCCTTGTACGTTATCGTCCGACATACTTCAGAAAACTTGTCGGCGTGGGCCTTGACGAAAACTTCGCCTACCCGCTCGCTCTCGTAACAAGTTGGCAGTAATGAAGTTGACGCACATTCCAGGAATGTTCTGTTAATAAGCCCTAATGATTATTATTGAAAGGGCTGATAACACAGCTGCCATCAGCACTCAGATCTTAGCCAATCGGCTTCCGGAAAGACCTGTCAACACCTCATTTGACGCACGACGAGTCAACTCTACACGCCGATTTTTCTGTATTCTCAACGCCTGAGTGGAAAAGCGTTCAAATTTTAAAAACACAGCTTTTCCCTCATCTATGCATATACTTGTATTCAAATAGGCCGTTTGGCGAAAACTGGACCCTTTTGTTCTGCGCTCGCGGGCTTTTCAGCAAATAAAACAATATTTGTGCAATTTCGGGACGTTGTTTGAATTTCGTGCGCGCGCGACCCTTTAGCCCGGACGATAACTAACTTTGGAAAGCGACGTGTTCGAAAATGACCGCATATTGTCCGAAATTTTTCATTCGCCATGGAAAAAGTTAAAGATGCTTTACAGCTAACCAGCCGAAGAATTATTTTAATGTGCTTTTTTATTTCTTCAAAAGGAAAATAAAGAAATAATTATCTGCTCTCTTTGATCTGAAGTTATATACAAGTTGTTGCTTCTCTTCATCAAGATATCATTACGGAACTCAGCAATACTGACTAATATTAGCATGGTACACATAGGGTTTTGAAATTCATACAAACGTGCTTAATCCTACAAAGTAATTTAAACATGCAAGCCAACAAACAACAAGGGTTCAAAAGAACGATTCAGCGAGCAAATGATTGCATGAACATTTCGTCGTTCAACTTGAGAACACTGACAAAAAGCTCGACTTAAGCGAGATTTTTTTTTTTCATCTCTTGATACTAATCTTTCGTGTATTGAAAACTACACGATTCGTTTCAATTACTTAGGTTCACTTCTCTTTCCAGCAGAATTATTCACATCCAACAAAAACAATCTGAGAGTGTGGCATAAAGTTCCTTAAATAAATCCACAACGCGATCTCAATAAATTCTCGCTCTACATGTAAATTCAGTTCTCCGGGAACGACCCGTTCGGATTTTATCCCCTCGTCTTAAATCTCTCCAGCGAATAGCATGGCAGCACTTTTGACTTTGAAGCCGAGTCAAGCAATAAATCTGCTTAACCTCTGTGTTGCTTTTTTTTTCTGTCTCTCTCTCTTACTTCTCTCTATAAACGACTGAGAACACGATCACGTAGCAAAATACAGAATGAATTTACCGTGCGTTTGCGGTAGAAATGATCCCGGCGTTTCGCTAATTCCATCATGGTAAGTGAGTTAATGGCATTGTCCCACTAACGCCCGAAACGTTAGAAATGCTAACTGGAGTCACTCCGCTATGGACAGGCAGACTGCTCGCCACAGAGCTTGATTCCTGCCACTGGCTATAGCGATTGGGAGGAACGTGGCTTCCAGTAACCTGGTGGTGATGATTCGCATTCTGTAAATTTGAAGTATCCCCAGGAAGATACGTGTTAATCATATCTCCGAGTTGATCGGTGCAGCTCCGTGTCCGGCTGGACTGCGAGCCAGGGCTCGGGATTTCTTGTTTAATGTTTGGTAGTAGCACAGGATTGCTAGGCTGCGAATACAAAGGAGTAATCGAGTTCATCGACGGAGCAGTACCATTCATGGTGTAAGCTTGACCCTGCGATGAAACAACAGGGTAAATTTGGCTGCCTCCCATGCTAGTGTAACCGGAATGGTGCATGCCGTTCGTAGCTTGTAGTTGTGTAGGGGTATGCGGTGATAGTGGATGACCGGCGTACATTGTACTATAAGGATCACTCACATTCATTTGGCTGTACGCTGAAATGGGACCGTAAGTAAAACCGTTCATTTGTGCGAAATGTTCGGCCGGGTTTTGCGCCACAGATCGTTGAACTGGCGGACCACCTTGAGCCCCTAACATCGACAAAGTGTACTTGTTGTCCTTCTTGAGCAAAGTTTTGCTCTTTCGTCGCGGTCTGTACTTGTAATCAGGGTGGTCCTTCATGTGAACAGCTCGCAATCTCTTGGCTTCGTCCACATACGGTCGCTTCTCGGCGTCCGAGAGAAGTTTCCATTCGGCTCCCAGCCTCTTCGAAATCTCCGAATTGTGCATCTTCGGATTTTCCTGCGCCATTCGACGCCGTCGTTCTCTGCTCCACACCATAAATGCGTTCATGGGTCGCTTAACGCGGTCCGGACTGCACTTTCCATTACTTTCTCCGTTCGCGTTAGAGCCCGTGTTCGCCGACGGCGTTAAAATTGTGGTCGTCGACATGGCCAAACGAACGACACAAATTTAAATAAAATTACCTTCAAGTTGGCGGCGGCCAAATTTTCCACGACAAAATTGTGACGGTTTGTCGAGAGTTCGTTTGTCGTTCTGTCGTGGTACGCTCTCAAAGCCTCGTTACACGCTTATGAGGAGCACACGTTATTTTTGACTCTCGCCTCCTCGATCCCATGTGTTATTGATTGGCAGAAAGCGAGCCAACGCCAATTGGCCAATCAGCGAGCAGCCAATGACACTCTTGATAAATGAACCTTTAGTTGCGTTACTCATGTCAACCCGTTTGACAGCCCGCCAGCCAATGTGACAAGTTGTTGAGGCGCTCGTCAAAGGGGGCGGGGATCGACGTTTTGATTCCGAGATCTCACCGGCCTGTCGACAAATCAGCGAGTGTGATACGCTCATCAGCTGGTCCAATTAAGCCCTAATCACCCGAGCCCAAGGAAATGAACTGTCATCTGTCCGAAACATGGAAATTAGCTGGAAGTTAGCAGGTGCTGATGTGAAACTTGACCGATTGACCGGCACTGTCACTAACTGCACGTGCGCCCCTCACCTGATTTCGGTTCATTCTCCATTGTGCGACACTGGTTGCCCCGGCAACGCACGACCTAATTAGCCCTGGCAGTGACGCTATTGGTGGATCGGCAGAGAGGCACCAATTAATTAGTTTCACGCGCCAAAAATAATTACGCGAAGTTTTGATATGATAGATCTCGCGGGCAGAAGAAAAAAAAAACAGAGGACTGCCTCGAAAGTTAGAGAACATTTTGTTGACTGACTCAATCCTTTGGTCGCAGGTTTTAGAAATTATTTGTTATACAACCGAGACTTTGATGAGTTTGTGATCAGAACGCTATGCAGTCAGAACTAGAATAAACCTCCCGTGGACTTGCTCACAAACAAATCTTGTTACCTCTTGCGGTCGGCGCGAGTAGTTTTCAGGCAAAACTTAAAGATGCGAGTGGGGGCGAAAAAAACCTTCCACCCCCGTGAGTCGTTTCGTTTGTAAAATATAACCTCAACGAAACGAAAAAAGCAAGCATACTGGTGTAAAACAAATAGATATTTTTATTGAATGTAATAGAAAAATTTCCCATGCTGGCAAGGTGTTAATGTCGTATGTAAATACGAAAAGTCTTAAACAAAAATAAAATTTTCTAGGCGGCAAGTTGTACGACAAAATATATTATTTTTTCTCGGCTGAAATATCTTCATTACATCATACAAGCTAGGAAAATTAGTGGAAACAATTTTTCTAGTCCGATTACGGCTTGATTCAAACAAGTATTTAAATTATAGTCGTGATCACCAACATTTGTTCGCCATAGTGTCTATCACTTTCCGTAAACCAATTTTCCTCCCAGAGCCTGAGTGACAACAGGCATTTTTTAATCTCTCTGAAAATTAATCAGGAACCTGACTCTGGCGTGTATACAATGTTTACTCGCACGAAAGAACACTCACGTTGACGTGAAATTCTTGTGGAGAAGGGATACAAAGCGCCTCACGTCGAGCGAAACAAACTCACTGAGACGAAAGACCTATAAGTGAAAAAGAAGAACAGAAAGAGAGTTAGGTTCAAATCAGACATCGTTGTGTGTGGTCTCTACAGAGGTAGGATAACATTAGATTCGGGTCACTGGAGCTTTCTACACGTGCTGCTAACATAGTGATTAGCATCCATGTTATGTAAACTAATTAAAAAACACAGTTTCGACTCTTGAAACTTTCACGGGCACACAGAGGACATTGCAACAACCCAAGCTTTGATTAGTAAGTAATCCCTTAGGAGACCAAGGCATGGTCGGTGAGATGCAGACCCATCAATGCTACGGTGATACGGTCGCGCAAAAACACGAAAGACTAGGAAGGATTCGAGGCGCGATCGTGTTTCTTTCTTCATTTCGGCAATGTTTACGAAACCTGATCGGAAATACAGCGTATTCAGAGAGGAAGTGTAATCGATGGCTGCTAGCGCGAGGGCAACTTTAGCAGTTCATTATCAAATTGTCAATTGAAAAAGTGCGAACCACCCCGGGTGAAGAAATGTCCCCTACGGCTTGTACACAAAGGCAAATTTAGATAAGATCGCTAACAATTTATCCCCCTGTCATCAGCAGTTTTAAATTAGATTCTACACCGTCCCGCCTCCATGACTAACCCTTGAGATGAATAATTGATTAGCGTTGAAAGATTCCTGATCCGCAGAGACCTTCAATCTAAATTTCGCCAGCATATGCATTCACGCTCACCAGAACAACACAAGAACCGACCACAATCTTTAATTCTATTGTCACCAAGGGATTTTCGCTACTTGATGCAAGAAATAAAAGTATGTGCAATATCAACTTGTACTCGAACTATCACTGGTTCGGTCAAGTTCGCATTTGGGCGATCGAGAGGCCAGACAAAAGAGTCTTTCTGCATGCTCCAAAGAGTGCTCAAAATTGTAGCGATCTAACAACGCTGGGGTCCGAGGCTAACGAGAGACGAGCCATTAACATGTCGTTAAAACCCCAGGCAACTTAGGTCTTTCACACGTTTAAAACCACGGAAACGTTAGACGAATCAAAGAATTTATTAGCGGACGACAGAATGCTCTGTCGTTCTGTGGTATATCATTATCTGATAATTTTCGACGCGATCGCTAAACGTTTACACAGCTCGCTAACTACAAAATAAACAATCCTTGCAAGCACCAACACAATCACGTTCCAATCTGGAAAGAAACAAGGACTACGTAACGAAATTCGACGCGAAGTCGCTGCCCTTCCACGGGCAAAAGTTATAATTCTGCGGTGCAAAATTATTCACACGATCGACCTTGCGGCTAAAGTGAATTGGAATCATTTGTGCGATAAATCAACAAGCAACTTTCCTTGAAAAGAAGTAATTTGAAGGGACGGGGCAAATCCATTGTCCGACTAAGATAACGCCTTTATGCGCCAATTCGAAATTTACCCTTTTCATACGCGAAAAGAAACCACTACATCTTTTGTATTCTTTTCAAACGCGTATCCTTTAGGCTCGGCAATACATCATGTACAGTGATAAACATCGCCATAAAACCACACATTAGCAAATTTGCCAGCGGCCGGATAAACCCTAAGTGAACGATTTTGATATAAACATATCGCAGATCACTGCATGTCAAGGAAAATATTTTGCCTAAGATAGCTCGTTTCCACAGGGAGGAAGTTTGACCACGCAAATGGATTCCATACGGTATGTTTTTCAAATGAGTTGAAAAATTTAACATGAACTTTTTTGCTTCATGTCGGCATGGTTGGAAATGTTAACTCCGTCGTACAACGCGAAACTTGGCGCAGCAATTAATTACACCACAGAGAGAAGTTTTAATTTTGGTAGTTCCAATTTCGTGCTCCTAATTTTGCATTCACATGAACTTTTTCCTTCGACAGAGATTTGTTTTGCTTCGTATTTCGCCTCAGGGCGAAAGCGAAATTATGAAAAAAAAGCTAAATATGAGTGCGTTTCTTATAAAATTAATCAGTATTAAAAGTTAAATTCTATCTCACATCAATATAGATATATGTGTATGTATATATATATATATATATATGTTTCGTGGCAAATTCTCGTTTCAGATTGGAAAATTTAAAATTGTGTTATCATCCAGTTCTGTGTATCAAGGAAAGACTAGCACCATATAACGGTGGTTGTGAATTAGGAAACTTTAAGATCGACTGGGAACTTTTTTTTCCTAGCGCGCAAAATTTATTTGAAAATTTAAGGCATCGATCAGTGCAAAGTTTGTACGCGGGTAGGAACTACTCAAAGACCTTTTCCGAGTTGATTGAGTAAACAAAAGTAAGATAGTGAAAGACAACATTTCAGTTTGTCTAAACATTAAAACAGCTGTTCATAAGCGAGCAAGCAAGCGACGAAGGAGAGCGCAAAACCCTTCGTTTTGGCGACTTGACTTTAAATTATCTAATCGCTTATATCACAGATAACCGCGTAGTTTGAGGGGAAAAAGATCTTTTGAACGACAAACGAGAAACTATTTTAAGGATTGCACGCGTACGATTCTCGAAACTTAAGAAACTGGCTTTAGAACGTATGGAAACTCGACGAAAAACATATATCATAAGAATCGTTGATAACAGTTTTGATCACCAAATTGCCACCGCTACTTAGAGGGAATTCCTTTTTGGATTAGCTTTTTTATCACCAGAAGGGAGGCGTCAGTTATTAGTTATGAAATCCACGCTCAAAGCCACAAAGATACACATCGATCAGAGATTAGGGAAAAAAATCAGTTATTAATCAAAATGTAAAATCAACAATCACTAACAAGGGGAATTTTACATATGCATGAAACTCGAACCTGGAAATGTTTGATCTTGAAAAGGAGCAGGTATCAAAATCTCAAACAAAAATGATCTTTCGTAATTTCAAACACAAGTTTTCGTTTGGAAGAAGCGAGCGCCATAGAATCGAATTCTTTTTTTTTGGCGATAAAACCAGCAGCATTGAATCATTTGGACTTGGACTTAGTGCGTCTTGGCGACACTGACAACAAAGGTGCTCAGATGTTTGCAGCGCTAGAGAATATACAAAATTTGGATAACTCGAGAACGGAACAGTACGAAAAACACAGCAAAACGTGGTACGAGAATTAGTAACTGCAATTAATGTTATGTAAAGACTTCTTGAAAGTTAAAAGACGGTGACTCATTGTAAACCAATTATTACAACTGCACTGTACAAAAGCCTCTGTCTAAACATACAAGACTCGAGTAATTGAAGAATTAAATGCAAGGAAGTTGACGCGAGCTTAGCTGCATTTTCACACCAGGAAAATTTCAAAACGTTTCACTCTTCTAAGGCGAGTGCCAAAACCGTACGTAACAACGTCTGGTGCGTTTGTGCGTTAACACAACAGTAGTGAATACGAGACAAACGATATTTTTCGAATCGTTCAACATAAGCTCAAATTCTAAACGCAAAGCAGATTATCTGGAATAAGAAAAGTAGATACGAACAATAAAGAAGGAAAATAAAATATAAGGAAGATTCCCCGAGGAAGAAATTTATTACCCTCGTTTTAGGGAAAGCGATGCTAGCCAAACGGACGTTCGTTTCACACACAAAAAAACACACACACAATAAGTTTTTGTACACTAATAGAATAAAGCAAAAATACAGCAACTGTTATACACTGAACTCTCCTTACGAGGCTTACGATGGATTATATTCATTTTGATAAATATTCTGACAAACTACACAAAGCGAGAACGCCCGCCCTTAAGCACGTCGCAGATAGTTCCGAAGAGACACAACTGGTCTTCTTTCAAATATTCACAAAATTACTTCAAAAGCATAAGTTAACTATGAATCGAGAAAGATTAACATCCTCTCAATTGAAGGATGTCTAGTTTGCAAAAAAATCTATTATAAAAATAAGATTTTCGACGCTTGAGATTAACGAGTGATAGTTATCGACTAGTCCACTGGTTTGTGAACTCTAATTGAGAAAGATTAAACTCTTTCTACTTTTGCGATATCACACAAATCAAATTTCTACCTAAAGCACTAGTGTACATCTTCAGATAAATTCAAGTACTAGGTCACAGTGCGTGAGTAAATTAAGGAAAGAGAGATTGAGATAAACTAACAAAACTTTGACAACATCACGTTTACCGTACGATAAATGAAATAACCTCCGGCAAAATGGGTCCAAATGGATCATTATCACACCACGTAGCATCCATTTTTCATATCTGCTACGTGAACAGTTCTAAATTAACAGAACTGGGTTGTGAGCGCGAATTGTCTTGTATAGTTACTCTGATCTTCTTGAAATCAAAGATTACATTCGACCGTAACAAAACAAACCCAACCATCTCTGGTACGGAATCGACAACTAAATCTGTACAAAAGCAAAATTCAATTGCACTTTTCAAAGGGCAAGTTATTCAACTCGACCTCAAAGCCAAACAGTGCAAAGAAAATTTCCCCAGAGAATACAATACCACAGGCAAAAAGACGTAAAGTGAAATTATATTCGTTTCGACTCGTATCCCTGAATGGGATGGCGGCGCTCAATCCGTAATTAGGCAGTAAAATAATCCCCGCAGGCTTGATTTGTGAAAAGCCAAGGAACAAAACCCGTCTAAGGTTTTGGTAAAAAAAAAAAAAAGTACGTTCAGGTGGTTTTAGTCTTAAAGGTGAAAAACAAAACAGCTCTGAACTGGTGCTCTTAAGACAAATGTATGCTAATTTTCAAACTGCATCGGGAGAGGAAATTGTTCGTATCCATTCACGTTGGTTGATTCTAACGGTGCGACAATAGTACAGTTATATGATAAGGTCTTGATCTCAGATATTCTTTACTTACATTAGGGTAATAGATCGAAAGCTAGTAGTTAAAAAAAAAATCCTACTGAATCACAAGATAGAGAGTACAGAAAAATACCTCACTACAGCATCTGATCAAACGTTCACACTAGCGCGTTAAAAGCTTTGCATACGTGCACCTTTCTCGGTGTAATTAAAAGCCGTAACATTCTATTTG